CTACGGATCAGAAGATTGTAGGTTCGACTCCTGCCTGGCTCGCTGCTGCTAGTTTTTCACTCCTTGCCTGCTGTCAGCTGTCCAAACCTCGTATTCCTAATCCTGGTTTGTCCTGAGAGTCCCACCCCATCTCCTAATGCTGGTTTGCCCTGAGAGTCCCACTCCACTGTGCATGGATGGAGGAAAAAAGTAGGAAAGCTTGGTTTAAAATGAAGAAGTTGTATTGGTACCTCCATATCCTGCTCAGCATATGAATGGGGTTTTTGTAATCTCTGGCATAATTCATTATTAAGTGATACAAATGATTGAATAGGGTGTACACACACAGTTCATTATTTGCCCTCACTGGAGACCAGATATGAAAATAATTAAGTACTTGCAGGTCACCGTCACTAATAACTTGCTCATAAATGACATATTTCGCAAGCTACACAATCATCTAAGCACTGAATAGGATGTTACTGGAGTAAAAAGTGTTTAGTACTTTTAGATCCATGAGCATGTTCTAGAAGAGTGGGAAGCTGAACTAAGCGGTCACATGAATGTAACAGGCTGTTCCTCAAGAGGCACAGTAGTTGCTTAGCATAAAGTAAGTCCTGAGATCAGTGTCTACATTTTGTGAGGGTTTTCATTTTTGTTTTTGTTATTTTTCTTTCCTGGATTTCATTCTCCCTTATGGGACATACACTGCTACACAGAAATGCATGTGTGTCAATACTTTCTGGGTGGGTAGGGGAAAAAAATGTCCTAGAGATGGAGCTGGAGGGGGAAAGGAGATGGTCCGTTCTCCAGAAGAAACCCTGAGCATGTTTTTATTTTGTGAGCTATCATTTAGGAGAAGAGTTTCCACTGAATCAGTGAAAAGGAACAAAGGAGTTCAGAGATGTTTATATAGGAAGGGGAGAATTTTATGAAAAAAGTAAATCTTTGGCCCTGAATGGAGTCTGTGCCCTGACCCACACTGGGGAGTGGCACAGGGATGTACTTCTAGATTTTCGATTTAGGTTTGATGGCTGGTGAGCGCAAATATGTATGGACAACAGACACCTAAGAAAATGTCTTTCCTTAATGTTTGCTCACCTTGGTGCCTCTATTCTCTGATGGGCAGGTTTTTCATGCCTGGATTTCTCCTGAACCAGTTTCTGAGAGGGATGCACTGCACCGTGCTGGAAGAGAAAGGAGAAAAGATTGTTGTTGGTGTCTATGTGTGTGTCCATACACACACACAAAACCATACTAATTAATATAGAGGTGTCTGGAGCTAGGGACAAAGCATGTAACTACAGATGAGCAGCTTGCAGGTCTGACTCCTGCTGAGTTTCATAAATCTGTTTCCCTGCTGATAATCTTACTTGCATTATATTCCCACAGGGAGTGGGTCTTCTTTGCTCTCATATATGAAATCTACCCCAGAGAAACGCTCTCACAAGGAGACAAGACTCAGTCATCGTTCTGTTGAAGGAGAAAACTTCACTTCCATTCTTCCCCTGCTATGCAGACAGATTTGGATGCTTTCAGACATGTTTACTTTCTCCAAGCAAGGAGCTGTTGCCAAGCATGTTTTTCTGCACCCTATGTAGTGCCTGTAATGGAAAAGAAGACTTGAAGGAAAAAGGAAACAATAGAAAACAGGGGGGGAAAGCAGAGTATGAGCGCTGGCTTTCTTATTAACTATATCCTAAGCAAGCCCACTCCTGTCTGCACTAACCCCCTTCTGTATAAAGGACCTCTATGGCCCCTCTCCCTCTGCTCCATGTTCTCCTAGAACAACTTCCTTTATGGCACAACCAAAGGACCAAACATCGTGTCTGTTGCGCTAAGTCAAGAGACTGTGGAGCACTTTCTTCCACTCCTATCAGCCAGAATGTTCACAGCCCTCATTCGTAACGATTGTCTGGCATCATAGAAAGCACAATCAGTAAGGATTATTTGGCAGCATGGAAAGCAACATGCGAAATGCGGAGAGACTGTCCAGAGCTGAACTAGCATACTAAGGACTACCTTGGAAAAGATGATCTAACAAAAATAGCTAAGATTGAGATAAAAATGCTTAATTTTTTTGGCTTCACATAGGAGGATGTCAAGTATACATTATTAGATTGAGAGGGGTTCTCATTAATGCATATAAATATCTCAAAGGCGGGTGCCATGACGATGGTGCAAGACCCTTTTCAGTGGTGCCCACTGACAGGACAAGGAGCAATGAACATAAACTAAAACATAAGAAGTTCCAGCTCAACACAAGGAAGAAATTCTCTACATTGAGGGTGGCGGAGCTCTGGAACAGGCTGCCCAGGGAGGTGGTGGAGTCTCCCTCTCTGGAGATATTCAAAACCCACCTGGATGCGTTCTTGTGTAACCTGCTCTAGGTACCCCTGCCTTGGCAGGGAGGTTGGACTAGATGATCTCCAGAGGTCCCTTCCCTTAAAAATGCTGTGGTTATTATAAAATATAATGAATTAAATCTTATTAAATTATAATATCTTTTAGTATAATTAAATATAATAATAATAACAATAATGATAATAATGAATATTATGATGAGAAAAAACTAAGCACTTCCCAAAGCATTGCTGCAACAAGGATTTCAATGTTTACCGCGGGGCTGCCACCTCTGCAGTAATTTTTTTTTGTTTGTTTCCCCCTCCAAGAAAAAAAAAAGATGTGACTTGCTTTCGTACCATACATGGTCGAAACGGCTCTAGGAGCGTCCGCCTGAGAGGTAGCGTAGCCGCCCTCCTGTTCCTTACCGAGGGACCAAAAAATTCCCAAGTGGGGAAGGAAAAAGTTTGGCGTCTCCTTCGAGCCGGAATCGAACCAGCGACCTAAGGATTCCCGCGGGGCGAACCTCTACAGTCCTCCGCTCTACCAGCTGAGCTATCGAAGGGACCTGCTGCCCGCCCCCCAGCGGCCGCACAAGGAGCCGCCCCGCCCCGCCCCGCCCGGAGCCCCGCGCATGCGCCCTGCTCCGCCGTCGAGCAGGGGCCGAGCGGCGGGACGGGGGCTCCATGAGGGGGCGACAGCCGGGGCCACTGCCACGTGCGGGGGCCAGTGGCGCAATGGATAACGCGTCTGACTACGGATCAGAAGATTGTAGGTTCGACTCCTGCCTGGCTCGCATCCCTTTTGGTGCCCCCTTACATCGTGACCGTCACCAGCGCCCTTCGCGGCAGTGTACGGCACACCGATTCCAAATGCTAAGATCACTATTGAGCTGCCTCAGTTACTTATTTGTAACTCAGTTATTTATTCATTCACTTTTTATAGGAAACTAGTGCTCAATCCACAGACTGATGTGTCCAGCTCTGGGGTTATCAGCACAGGAAAGACGTGGGCCTATTGGAGAGAGTCCAGAGGAGGGACATGAAGATGATGAGAAGGCTGGAGCATCTCTCCTATGAAGACAGGGTGAGAGAGTTGGAATTGTTCAGCCTGGAGAAAACAAGGCTCCAGGGAGACCTTAGAGCACCTTCCAGTACCTAAAGGGGGCCTGCAAAAAGAGCTGGAGAGGGACTTTTTACAAGGCCGTGCAGTAATAGGACAAAGAGCAATGGCTTTAAACTGGAAGAGGTAGGCTTAGGTTGGATATAGGGAAGCAGTTTTTTACAATGGGATTGGTGAAATACTGGAACAGGTTGCCCAGAGAGGTTGTAGATGCCCCATCCCTGAAAACATTCAGGGTCGGGTTGGGCAACCTGATTGAGTTGAAGAGTCCCTGCTCATTGCAGGGGTTTGGACTTGATGGCCTTTAAAGGTCCCTTCAGCCAAACCATTCTATGAGTCAATGACTATGGCTACTCTCAAATCTAAACATGGCGGATGCCTTCCTCGCTTCTCCTTTCTGCTCTTCATACAATGCTTTATACAATGCAAGCTGTTCTTTATACCGTGCATAGTCTTTATAGACACCAAAAATGTTTGTTTTGTTGCAAAAATCATACACTTTTCATTCAACTGCACAACGAGAGTGCTCTTGCCCTTCTCAAGGCTAGTGGATAATCACCATTATCCATTAGTCTTCATCACAGCAGCATTGCAGCTGCCTTCAGAGACTGTTTGTTTTCTTGGCTGTGGTTTGTAAGACTGACCATAGCGTGTCGGGCCAATGCCGAGCACACTGCTCCTCTGTTTGGGCCCAAATGATTTTCCCCCATGTAATGTGTTGGTGTGTTAATCAAGTTGAGTTGCTGGCACAGTTAAAGCATTTGACAAGCTGTATCTTTGAATGGTTTGAAAAGTTTAAGCCTACAATGGTGTTTTGCTTTGGGAGATGCAACGCTCCAATGACATGCTGGGTGGACAGATGGGGTTAAATCAGAGAATCATAGAATGTTAAGGGGTTGGAAGGGACCCTAAAGATCATCCGGTCCCAACCCCCATGCCAGGCTGGGACTAGATGAAGTTGCTCAAGGCCTTATCCAACCTGGCCTTGAACACTGGTAGGGTCGAGACATCCACAACCTCTCTGGGCAACCTGTACCAGTGCCTTACCAGCCTCAAAGTGAAGAATTTTCTCCCAATATCTAACCTAAATTTCCCCTCTTTCAATTGATACCCATTACTCTTTGTCCTACCACTACAATTCCTGATGAAGTCAGGATGGTGAGATGAGATGAGGAGAAGAGAAAAGAAGATTGAGAGAGTGAAAGATAAAAATGGTCAGCATGCTGAGATCAGATGAAAAAGCTTCCCCCCCCTGCGTGGTACTTGGGGCGGTGACCGGAGAGTAGAAAAAAACAACTGCGAGCCAGGCAGGAGTCGAACCTACAATCTTCTGATCCGTAGTCAGACGCGTTATCCATTGCGCCACTGGCCCCGCACAGGAGTAGGGTTTTCTCCACAGACCTCTATAGCTCAATACCGGAGGGACCCCCCAGCCGGGCCCCAGGGCGCTCCTGCAGCGCCCCTGCAGCGCCCCAGGCCCGACACAGGCCCCGCCTGGCATAGGCCCGGCCTGAAACAGGGGCCGCTCCCACCCAGGTCCGGCCCGGCTAAGGCCCGCCTGAGAGCCGTGCAGCCCGCGCATGCGCGGAGCGATCCGGGCTACGCTCTTAGAGTGTGGCGGCGGGGTGAGTGGCAGGTCCCTTCGATAGCTCAGCTGGTAGAGCGGAGGACTGTAGAGGTGTTCGCCCCGCGGGAATCCTTAGGTCGCTGGTTCGATTCCGGCTCGAAGGAGACGTTGTTTTTTTTTTTTTCCCCTTCCCCCCCCCTGTTTTTCGAAGTGCGTTTACACATCTCTTTGACGTTTTGCAGATACGGCTGTTTCTCTCGAAGGGATCCGGCCTCATTGCAAACCGAGCCTCTCGCTGACTCTCAGGAGCGGCTGTTCCTGCGGGAACTGCGAGTGCCGCGCCTGATGTGGGACTGCCAACACCCCGTGAATTTCTAAAGGAAAACAGGGTGTACGTTGTTCATACTTCAACTTAACGACAAAGCAAGCCCGTGCAGGAGGATACCTGTTGAGATCCCTTTATCTCATCACAGTTAATTAGGATGTTGAAATGCTGAGGGTCATTTTTCCAAGCCTCCTCTCCTCCGAATGTTTAGACTCCACTTTTACAGAATAGGGCTGTATCTATATATTTGCATACTGCCACAACGTTTCCAGATTCAGCCCAGTGAAGTGTTCAGGGCTGGGCTGGACGGGGCTCTGAGCAACCTGGTGGGTGCATCCCTGCCCATGGAAGTGGGGTTGGAACTAGATGATCTTTAAGGTCCTTTCCAACCCAAACCATTCTACGATTAGCATGTATTAACTCTCCCACTTAGTGGGAAATTGTGTGTCTTTACTAGTGTCTTTCTATTATCTTGTAGGTGTCTGCTACCATTATTACTGCCTTCCCAACCCTGAGACAGGTGACACTGGCACAAAGGACCGAGTCCTCTTGTAAGAAACTCTGTACCTGTTCATCTCTCAAAGCAAAAGGAGAAGCCGGATGTGATGACTGAGCTGACTTTAGTTTGTGGAGGGAAGGAAGGGGGTTGCTATGGTCTTTCACCCTGCTTTGTAACAGCACAATGAACATCATCTTTTCTACAGGAATGATAACACAGAAAAATAAATCAATAATTTTAACTGTACTCAGTTTTGTATACTTCTTAATTTTTCTTTAGATTTCTTTTAGATTTTATTCTAAAAAGAGGCAGAGATGTAACTCTTTTTGACTGAAATAATACCAGTATTCATTCTAATGGAAGGTAGGTAATGAAATTAAATACATACAATTATATTTGAAGCTTTTCAGATTAAACAGAGTGCCTTATCTCACAAACTTGTGGGGAGAAAAATGCACAAACTACATAAATAACTGGTTACATGGTAGTATGCCTAAATCTTCTATCATGCCTCTTCTGTTTGGTATTTTGAGTGAATCTGGGTATGTGTTAATATCTAAACACAAAAAGGGATGGATATTTGAGAATACATCCAGCCAAAACAGTTGCCCCTTGTCCATTTTTCGAATGCTTGGGCTTCTGTGGTCACAGAGGCTGGATACCATCCTAGTGAGAAATACTCCTGCCTTGTAGCACTTATCTAGCACTCTGTGCTGGCTCTTGGACTGGTGCAAAACCCCTGAGTGACATGCTGGATGTCTCTGGACTTCTGCTGTTGTCCTCAGCAGCATCATGGTTTCACTCTCTGCACACACCCTTCACTGGGGAAATTATTTCATAGAGGCTCTGATACCTGTAAAACTGCTGTATTACATCACTTTGTCACACTGATGATTTTTTTTTTTATGTAGTCAAGTTTTCTGCATTGGATAAAGGACTTGTAATGTGCAGGTATAGCTCTGGCTGCTTTGCATAGGTAGGCACATCTGCTGCAATCCAGGACTTAGTTCCTCTTCGGGGAAACCCTGAGTTGCCACTTGCAAAGCCATAATTTTGGACAGCTGTCTCAACAGCTTCTCTTGCTGTTACCGGAATGAAGTTGTTAATGTGGAAAGGTAAAGGGAGTGCTACATAAATTCATACATACAACCTTTATTAGTCAGAGTGGTTGACAGCCAAGGTAGATTTGAATACATGGTTCTTTACATATAAATAAATGTAGCAAAACAGAGCAAAAATTTGAGGATCTGTACATTTCGAGAAGATTATTGGGTGTGCAGTTGAACTGTACGCAGAAACAGATCATGTAAGCATATATTCATGTTAGGAATTTTTCTGAAAAGCAAACAAAATCTCACTGAAAAGCTAAGTCCTGAAATTCTGATTTACCCTTTCTCTACATGTCCTCAGAACAGCTGATCTTCACATCAATGAGAGAGGCAAAGGCCCTCTAAAAACTAAGTTTGCTGTTTGATATTAAGCCATGGGTTCAGATGCTCAGATCTTTAAGCTGCAGGTCCTGGACAACCCACTCAGAGGTTTGGTCACTGATTAATTCTGAGTTTTTTTGCTAGCTGAGATAATGCATTGTGGCTCTTCTGTACAAATCTCTATGTCTGTAAAAAGGATTTGCAAACATGCAGCAGCTTGTCCACCTTTGCATCGCACTGTGAGATCAAATCATAAATCTTTCCCAAGAAAAATCTCTCATTTAAAAAGTGTAAATAAGAACCACATGACTTGTGGTACATCTCAAGCCCATGGAGATCATTTCCTTGATTTCAGTGAACTTTGGCTCTGGCCCATAGAGTGGGCTCCTGAGGGACATTGAAGATATTGCATGTGAAAAAATTCTCCAGTTGCTTTTGTTATTACGGGATTTACTCTTTCCTCCTTGGCTTTATGCCTGCTCTGTAGCTGTTGTTGAAATCAAAGGTGCAATTTCCAATTACTTTCATGGGAGCAGGAGGACAGATTTCACATTGGAAAGGATTCCACATATAGTTTGATGTAGCTTTACACCAGATTTTTCTCCCAATGCCTCTTTTAACTCTCTGCTGGAAACAGTCACTATGTAACATTTGGACATTTTCATGGTGAATTTCTTTCCCAGACAGTGAAACTTAGGAAATGTCTTTGCTTGCAGATTTGTTATATACTACATGGTCTCCCTACTCCTTCATTCAGGGATAAGGTCTTATACCAGAGCAAACACCCTGCAAAGGGTAATAGTGAAGAAAGCCAAAAGATGTGTTTGTGCCGAGTGGGTGCAGGTTGCAGGAGCGTGATCTGGATTTATGTACCAATGAGTGGTCCCCAAAATCATTTGCAATGTGCAAGTGAGGACCAAGAGTAGCCCATGGGTAGGAGGGAAGCGAGGGCCTGTGCGCAGCCTCAGCCATGCCAAGACCTTCCCTCTTTTGTGAAGAAGAAAACCGGGGCCATTTCTGAGGGGAATGTGAGCATTGGCTGGCCCCAGTGCATGCACTCAGAGAACAGATATATAACCTGAACTGGAAGTAATGGCCTTTAAAATGTCCATGTGTTATGGGACATTTAAAGAAATGTTGAAAGTAGTATTTCTTGACTTTGGAATTACAACTGGTGCTACAAAAAACACTCTTTTCCCATATGTTTAGCTGCAGCTGGATGACATTTGCTGTGGAAGGTGAGAATAGAAGGAAGATAATAATGTTTCACAACTGTGGGATCCAATTCTAAGCACGGGAATAACACTTTTGACTAGTTATATATTCCTTGGTTTGTATAATTTAGTGGAACATGCGGCCCCCTTTAGACCACAGCACACAAAAATAATATATGCACAGAACTGACAATGACTGATGTAACATGATCAATAAGGAGAAATCTTGGACTTAAACTACTATGTCAAATCAGTGAAGTGCTAAATTTAAGATCTAAGAGATATTCCTTTAGCTCTTACAAATCAGTGGCCTAATTTCTTTGTGCTTGATTTAGCTATACCCACATATATCTCCACTGACTTGTGGAGTGGTACACTTGAACGTACACCTCATCTCTAACTCTTAATTTAAAATCATGTCATGTGCTCTTAAAGCCCCTGGGCCTAGGGGAGAGGAGAGGATTCAGTCTTGCCCCGATGAGCTAGTGAGGAGAACACTCACTCCTTTGCTGCTTGCCTTCCCTGCCAAGTCCTCACTGCTCCCCACAGCCCCAGTGCCTGCACTGGTGTGATGGCTCCCAGCCTAGTGCCAGCAGGGCAGTGGGGCCAGAAAACACTGGGGCTCAGGTATGGGGAATAAGCCAGCTGGCAGAAAGCTGTTGGCTGGGAAGCAAATGGGGGACCTTTGCCACAGGACTGTGAGAAGAGGAGAGAAGGTCTGGGGCAGCCCAGGACCAGCCTTCCTCTCCGTGTGGCATTTGCCCACTGTCTCATGGGTTTTCAGCTTGTGCAGGGGAAGACACAGAGCCAGTGTGTGCTTCTCAATGAAGCTCCTGGATTTGGAGTGACCTGAACAGTTACCACCAGCAGAAGAGTTCCCAAGCACTTTGTCCTGGCTCAGGTTTATAATTACCAGAGCTGGGTCCCAGCAAGCCAGTAGCTGCTTTCCAAAGAGCACTTTCCCTCTGGGAAGGAGAGTCCTGTCTGTCTTGCCACCAACTTTCCCCCTGAGGTCTGCTAAAGAGCACTTCCTGGGCTCCCTCACAGGAATGTTTCACATCCAGCAAAACTGCTGCATGCAAGGAAAGTTCCTGGAACAGGGAGAGGTGGAGCCAGTGTGTCTGGAAAGATACTGTGTCTGGGAGGTGAAACTATAGCTAAGGGCAGGGAGAAGAGCAACTATACCAAAGGGAATATTACTAGAGGGAAAGACCATGTTAAGCCTGGCAGTTTGATGCCATGAGAGACCAGCATGCTGGTCTGTAGAGCTCTGTACTGGCCATAGATATCTCCATGCACAGTGCAGGTTATCAGCCTATTGGAAGTGGCCTAGAGGAAGATTCTGCCTTGATAGGAAATAACTCTCAGTTTACTCTTGATTAGCTTAAAGACAACTACAAACACAGGCTGCAGAACTTATCGCGTGTTTTTTCTTGCTGTGAGACTCAGTGAGCAGCACCAACAGGTCATGCTCTCCTGCTCTAGGAGTCTGTGCGATAGCTCCGATGGCTGTCCCCAATTAGTTGCGTCTTCTCCGTTACGTTAGTTGGCTGAAGCACGATAGGAGTTTCTCCATCTAAATTGGGGAGGAGGACAAATAAAAATGTAAGAACCCTCCACTTGCTACAAAGTCAGATTTCTTGTTAGCACTGCAGCATTTCATCCGCGGTTCTGGTTACAGCTTAGTCTTGGTTTCATGGACAGCTGGGTGGGTACTGAAGAGGTGGCAATGCCCACACCGAGTCTACAGATGCTCTAACTCCTTGTCCTCATATAACGGCAGGTTTCTGGGTGACTATTGCTGCTGCTGTTAAACTGGACATTTGCCGTACCTGGTGCTTTGCAGACATTGCAGGCTCAAGGTTCCTGCCTGTTCCAATAGCAAGTGCTTGTTCCTGCAAATGTCTGAATATAATGAGCACTGTTGTGAGTCAGCAAACACTAACCTTGGCAGTGCTTGTGAGAATGGGACAGAAATGAGTCTTGAAGTTAACAGTAAAGAAAGAAGAGAGTTAAAAGGGAAAAAATGCATGAGCAGTAATACACTTGAGAGGGAAGAAATCACATATATCCTGAAAGCCAGCTAGTTAAATAAAAATGTTAAATTGAATTTGAAGTCTTATATAATAGATATACAACAGGACTCTGGGAATTACTATTTTAATGAGTTTGGAACTACCAAAATCTCATATTATCACTATCTAAATCCTTACTACTGTGTACTTTCTCATTCTGTACAGTTTTGTGTTTGCTTTTCCAATATATCTATAAAAATGCATTTGTTGTAGAGTGGAGAAAGTTGAGTGGAGGGAAGTGAAGTCTTTACGTAGTTCCTTGATGGCTGTTGTGTTCCCTCTGATAATAAACAAGGTTTGGTTGCCCTTCTCCTGGGCTCCTTTCCAACCCACATTTTTTTGGTAGGGAGGAAGGGGCTCAGGTCTCAGAGACTGACTTTTAAAGGTTCAGCCATCTTAGTGAAGTGTTTCACATGAAAAATTCTAGACTATCTATATCTTGATACTAACAGAGCCTTCACAGTAATTGAATAAAAATTATAACTTTTTTTTCCAAATGACCGAATGTTCAGAAAAAACCCTCATCT